AGATGACAGGAACCCTCACAAATCACAGCGATTTGGAATTCTTTCTTGAAGAGTTAATCTTCGAAAGCAGAACTACTCTTAAAGGTGAATCTTAATTACATTTCTGAACTAAAAAGATATAATATAAAACAGTAAGTTTTCTCTATGAAAATACAGAAAATAAAATGAAATGAAAAATAGTTTTCAGTGTATATTAAAAATGCATATGTACAGTCAAGAGCTTAAGATTAACCAAAGGTACAATAAATAGAAGACAGGATAAGGTCTCAAAGTTGTTCATCCTGGAATAAGATGTTAGGCTTTGGCTACCTAGGAATAAAAGGTTCAATCCCCAAACTTGAAAACAATACCCATGCGGTACACCCACTCGCCCATTCTGCCCACGAGAGGAGGCAACACGCACACCTTTCCTTAGAGAGACGCCCGAGAGTGCTGTGCTGACAGTTTCTACTTCTGAATTCACAAAGGCATGGCAAAAACAGGCTGGGGCACCAGACGTTTAAACTAAAAACTGCTTGGAGGACTGGGGGTTCTGATTATAAACTAGGCTATCTGGGTGTTCGTGGAACAACGATGTGAGATTTTAATCTTTAAAAAAGGTGCGTTTCGTTTCATTTAAGAAAAAAAAAAAGAATCCAAGTACCCTTGCCTCAGGGAGTCATATGAAGTCCTGCACTTCTGTTTTAGTCCACGGAGTTGGCTACTCGGTAACTAGTCCTCTGTTGCCATCTACAGGCCAAGTGTCCCATAACAGGACACACATCGGAAGGCGTTAGTGCCACGGGCTCTCACTGTACGACTCGGCTTCCCAGAATCACAATTATTTGCACACTGATTAGTATGGATTTGTTCAATTAGACTGAAATGCTCTATTTGCATGAGCAAAATGCAAAGGAAGAACTTTAAAGCATTAGGAAAATTATCGGTTAAAATAATAAACAGAATTAAATGAGGAAAAATAAATTGGAACTGACATCTTAGTCATCGGTTCTTCATCAAGCTGAGCAAATCTAATAATGCCTCCCTCCCTCCCTCAGCTCCCAAGAAGTCCACCGTTAAAATGTCATCTCTAATTCCATTTTATGTCTATAAATTGCATTTTAATAACCTTTTGTTTCCCTTTCTCTGTTCTGTTGTGTGTGTGTGTGTGTGTGTGTGTGTGTGTGTGTGTGTGTGTGTGCGCGCGCGCGCGTTTTAATCCCCCAACTACTGAGAAAGGTAGTAAAGGGACAATGGAGTCTTTCTGAGAAGGCAGAGTGCTGCATTTACAAGGGCAGCAATGGGTTTCCACCTAATCACGTCACCTGACCTCAATGTCAGAACACCCTTTCTCCTTTTGGAAGGGCCGGGTGATCACCACGGGCCTCCAGCTGGTAATTACTCTCCTGGCCAACTTGAGGACCTCTTGCAACCTTAATATAAAGTTATCATTTGCCCTTTCTTTGGTCTTAATAATGCAGGGGGTGGGAAGCAGAGAAGAAAAAAAAATGACAACAGGAACAAAAAACACTGAGGTTCAGAACCACGAGTGCATGTTAAACTATGCTCGTGTCATAAATTACATCTGAGACTAGATCCTGTTTGTTATGACAGGATGCTCTTTTTCCTTTGTCACTTTGGGAAAGAAAAAGTGTCATGAATTCCTTTATAAGCATTGCTGATCTCCAGTGGGTAGATTTCTAACTAAGGAAAGAGGAGTGCCAGTTAAAGATTAATGTTTTAATTGTTGATTTCCTGAAAATATAAGCTGATACTATATTCTAAATACCTTTTGTTTTTCATTTTAAAGGGTGTGTGTAATTTCCAAACAATCGGTCCCATAGAGGCAGTTTAAAATTAAAATACATTATTTTATAGCCTCTGGGGAGAGCACACGTGCCCATGGGAAAAAATTCTGTCTGAACGAAATGTATGCTGCAATCAGTTTTTCTTATCTATCAATAGAAGCCATTTACAACATTATATTAATTATAGGAATTTTTCATGTAGGTGAATTAATAATCATATTGCGTTATTAAATTGTTGAGTGGTGTTTATAGGATGCACCATTTATGAAGGATATTCCTCCTACCTCCCACTTATAGTCTGCCTCAGAGCAGAATATCATTCTTTGGCAGTTATGCCATAGTTTGAATTGGAATACAGTTGACTCTTGAACAATGAGGGTAGGGATGCTGACCCCCAGCACAGTCAAAAATCCATGTATAACTTTTGAGTCCCCCAAATTTAACTACTAAAAGACTACTGGAGACTGGAAGCCTTACTGATAACAGGAAATTAACACATATTTTGTACATATGTTACACACTGTGTAAATAAAGTAAGCTGGAGGGAAGAAAATGTCATTAAGAAAATCGTAAGAGAAAATACACTTACAGTCCTGTATATATTTATTTAAAAACACCCACATCTAAGCGGACCCATACAGCTCAAACCCGTGTTGTTCAAGGGTCAACAGTATTATTTAATGTCAGGGCTCCTTTTTCTTGTGCTAGTCCCCTGAGACTTAGTCTTTGCCCTGTGAGAACGGGAAAACTGCTGTGGAGTATAAGTGACATCCAATGCTATTCTGAAAGTTAATCACAAAGGCAGCCAAACTGGCCAATTTCTAATCCCTAGCCCCGCCCTGCCACCGGCGACCTCCCCCAGGTTTTAATGGAGGGCGTGGACATTTTTGAGAGAAAAGCACTCTGTGGGGGGCACAGAAATGTATACATCAGGGCAGGCCAGCTACTCCTCAAACAACACCTGAAATTTACAGTTGTGCTCTCTCTCTCTCTCATGCTTGAAATATTAACAATGCTGATTAACATGTGAATTGTGCCTTAGAGTGGACAAGACACTTTCCCAGATATTTCTCCAAACAGCTCATTGTTTTGAGTCTGAGTTAAGTTGATGCTTTTTTTAGATTTGTAGTGAATAAAGAAGATTCAATAAGCACACAACTAATGTGTACACGCAGCCATACAGTCCATTTTACAATTTATATTACTAGTTTGTATAGTTTCCATGGAAATGTTAGTGATGAACTGAGAAACTGATATGGAATTGTATTCAAAATGGTCCAATCATGATATTTAGGGGGAAAAATTCCATAGGCCTTGATCTTCAAATACTAAGTTAGAGTTTTTTGAGATCTACTTAGATAAAGTTTTAATAAACTCCGATGGATTAGGTTTCAGAATTTATCCCAATTTGATTAAAGTAGGATTTCTCCTCAAATCTGTGTTGTCTATCCACTGGAAAATTGCCCTGAAGTTCCTGCCCTTAGTCATTGTTAAGACTCCCAGAATACCGTGAACAAACCATTATTGAGCAACCAAGGCAAACTTAACCAAAGACTAATCAAAATAAAAGACCAAGAAAAACGAAAACAAAAAACAAAGTGACGAAGGTGGAAAGGCACCCTTTCTAGCCCCATAAGCCCTCAGTGGGAGCAGAAAACCAGTCCTTTTCATGGACAAGCGTGCTGGCAGTCCATTCCAAAAGCAAGTTGTGGAGTCAAACATTTTGGAATAGACTTCTATCTGGAATGAATGATGAAAACAGAGTATAGAAGGTCTGGTTTAGTGGAGAATCGCCATGAGATTGTTACTTCCAAAAATTACTGACCGAATATTAGCTGACAACAAAGAACACCCACATCTATAAAGACACGAAGGACAGTGCACTTGTACGTTGCATTTCCTTAGAACGAACTCGAGAGAGAGGGCAAGGAGAATAACTTGGAATTTTAAACTCTCGGCAGCACTGGGAAGCATCTGCAAGAGTCTGCGTTCTATTTAGCACCGTGAGTGGGCTCGTGAGCCAGTTACTCACATGTGGCTCACTGTGGAAAGGGTTCAACCAAAAAATACGAAATGCAAACGGTACGAGAACGTGTATGCATACATTTGTGCCATCTGCAAATTCTGGAAGCTCATATCAAATATTTAGTAACCCGGATCTGGGACTGATTGTACTGAGTGTGTCACTTATCCATCTTTAGTTTATCTGGGGCTCTAGTGGAGCCAAAAAAGAAACAAAGAAAGGAAATAAAGACACCCGAAGAAGTGGTAAAACAGTACCGTTCATGAGCAATAAAGTACTGTTCAATAGCATATATGCTTTTTAAAATTCGACATTGTAGTGTGTAAGTTCTTTGTTTAGAAAAGAAAAACCAGCTCAAGCGATTTCACATTGAGTATGCTGTTAAAATTTACATACTCTGAAAAAAGAGGAAATTATTAAAAACTCAAGTAATCTGGGACCTGAATATATTTACTCTAGAATATGACACCAGGAAGTATGAGGTTTCATTATTTCTCTGCCCAATTTAATCTTTGCCTAGAGCTGCTATCAAATTGCATAAAGTGTATGTCTGCATGTATAGAACAGAAAAAAAAAAAA